AAAAGTTTTAACGTTATGTTCGACTCTGCTCTCTTTTGGGTTTATATTTTGATGTCAACGAATATTATTTCTATTATTTTCCTAACCGAAAAATATAGTAAATTATTAAATGGATAATAGCAAGCATTCTTATCCGTCGCACTCGAGATAAGTGTCTGAAACTGAGAAGATAAAGGAAATCGCTAATCAATCTCCAGCGGAGTTAGGAGCTAAGCTTGCAAAAGACTTGGCCTTACGACAAATGGAATCCACCGACCTGATCTGTTTAAACTACTTCCGCCACACCAGTTACCAACACAATTACTGTTACCTGTGTCTGTTCAGATACATCAAGGTAACAAATACAAGGTACTTAATGGTAACGCAAGTTAAGCCTCGACGTCATATGGTCTGGGCAATAACCGCTTTGCACAACTAGTTGAAGAGAATAACTTCTTCGAAGAGACCGCTGAACCCAATTCTCTCTAGGGTCAGAGATCAACTCAGTTGGCTAATCCGAAACCTCCACCAATATGTAAATAAAATGGTAACGCTGGGAGTACCATTAATCAGATTATCTCTGCAGAGCATTTCTTGCGTATTCACTGCTAATGTGGAAGCTTTCAGAAAGTTAGTCCGTAGCATGACTGCTTTAAACTGCGAGGTTTGGCATCATTAGCTCCGAGAGGATAAACCTACTGTCCCTAGGGAGGAAAAAGAGCGTTGCTTTACAGATAAGAGATTTGTCGTTATTAATATATATTGCCCATGGAATCCTAGTTGGCGAGAAAATACTGTGGATAATAATGATAACGAAGAAGTTTTAAATGTAAAAACAAGGCAAAATTTATTTTATGTCAATCTTAAGCAGACTCGGAATGTTTCCGAATCGAAGAAGGATCTCGTTCAATCCTATAAATGCCATAATTTTGGTCATACACGAAATAATTGTTTCATAAAGACTTTGTGTGGGAACTGTGAAGGTGTGCACCCTTCTAACCCTTCAACCAATGCATTTGTGCTAACTGCAGAGAAAATCACGCTGCCAGTTTTAAAGGCTGCAAAACAGAAACGATAGAATCGAACAAGGCTTTTCGTGATCTAGTACAAGTTCTTATTGTAGTTGGGTCATCAGAATACCTTGGTTGTATCTTGCTCCCAACCAGCCGTAATCAAAAAACGACTTTGACCAACTTCTAAGCACTCTGGGTTCCGGGTATTTAGCTGGAGGTGACTACAATACGAAACATCAATGGTGGGGCAATCAGCATGTTGTCAAGGAAAACGTGTACAAGAAGCAAAAGTATCTAGCTCTTGTCAAGTTCTTGCTACTAGTGAACCCACCTTTTTCTCATTTAACATCAACGGCATCAACGGTTTTAATCAACAAACTGTCAATCCAAACAAAATATGAACCGTGATCTGATCACCTGCCGGTTATTGCAACACTAAGCCATACAGCCCAATATAAATCCATGAGAAAAACCATACTACCGCCCAGGTCCTCCATCAAAAAATGTATGGATGCTATGAACAAAAGCATTAATCTGAATATTTAAATATGTAGTACAGAGGATATCGAAGATGCCGTACATACATTAATTCAAATCTGACAAATTTTTTAGCCAGATTAGAGGAAGCCCTCTTCAGGTGATGTCTGTGTATACAATATCTACAAAAGACTCTCAAATCGACTAAGTAAGGTCTTGCCGAAAAACAAACAAGACCAGTTTGAAAATATGCTGGAAAATGCAAGTCCATACGCATATACAAACTATTTTTTATGGGAGCCCACGAGTCGATATAGACAACAGGTCATTTCGAAGGCTCCCAATAGAAATTCGGCTGGTGGATCGTGCAACTAGTCAACAAAATCTGCTATCTTTGCAAACAGCTTAGGGGAAAGATTAAAGCTATTACACCCCACTCCGATAAAAAAAATCGAGGTCTAGTTCAAATGCACCTAGACTGGCGTTTTCAATTGGCTCTACCCATGAGCCCAGTCATACTAGAAGAGGTCCATCAGAAAGCTAAAAGCAAAAAACTATAAAGCTATTCTAAAGTAGTAGTTTGGTTTCAGAAAAAACAATGGGTCACTGAGTTGTAAACTTCGCCTTGGAAGCTATGGAACACAAAATGTATACAGTCGCTGTAGTCATGGATATACAACAAGCCTTTGACAGGTTATGGCATGATGATCTTCTGAGCAAAACAAAGACTCTAGTAACGCCCCAGATTTTTATCCTTATCTATCACTTAGGTATTTAGTGTGGTCGTCGACGGAGAAAAATCGTCCAAACGTACTAGTGTACTAGGCCCGACTCTATACTCGCTCTATACTCTATACATGGCATAGAAAAGGCATTGCAATATCAGGATTACAAGAATATGTGTTTCGAAAAGTGGACCACAGAATGGAACATAGGCATTAATTGCAGCAAATGCGCTTGTGTCACATTTGCGAAAAAACTACTGCATTGTTACATATGCTTCGCCCTGATCTGGTGTGATCTTGGCCAGAGAAACAACAATGATCAAGCAGTCAGTGTTTTCAAAGGCAGCCAAGATGTCGTGGCTCCTGTCTCCGAGAGATAAGCACTGTCAAACAAAGTTTGCATATATAAATCGATCTTGATTCTTATCTGCAATTTTAGAAACAAATTACATCTTTATAGTTATAAACGGATCGTCTTTAGGCAAGGGGATGGTAAAGCCACACAGCTTGCGCGGCAACACAAAGAGCATTTCTATTCCCAAGTATTAATTTTTTAATTTCTAAAACAAAAGCAATAAACTAAAAGCTTAGCAACAAAAGATAGTTTTATACCTTGTGGGTATCTGGAAAAAAAGGTACAAACTGGCCAACCAGATTCCCAGACTTTTCGTCGTGATCGAAATTATAAAAATAGCCAGAATGTCGCGAGCGAAACCCTGAAATTGGATGGTAAAGGCTTAAAATATAAGATCACGTTTTAAACTAGCTTACAGACTTGCTTATACGAGAAAATATTAAACAAGTATTACTAGTCCATCTAAAAATGTAAACTATTCCAAAATTGTTTGGTTTTCAAGGTTACATGGTCGGACGAAACAAAAATTAATCGATTTGAGTCAGATGGTCGCGCCTGGTATTGGACTAAAGATCCCACAATCCAGTCACCAAGTAATGTGCGGAGCATTTTAAAATAAAATCTTCCAGAAGTCATCCGGAATACGGGTGTTTCTGTTGAAAAAGGCATTTTTTAGCAAGACAATGACCCAATGCATACGTCTCTTTTGGTAAAAAATTGTATTTTTAAAACAAGAATTTCAGTCCAAGAAGTGGCCACCACAATCTCCGGATATCAATCCAATTAAAAAAAATTATGGAGTCATGTGAAATCGCAATTGGCGAAATATGTAGAAGACTAAATATCTGTTATAGCTCCAAATTTTCAGTCTTTGAGTATAGACGATTAAATTAATTTTTCTTTTTATGCGTGAATTTTTAAAGTGCAATTTATGGGGGCAGCTTCATTTTTTTTACCTTTTCAAATTTTGTCGAACTTTATCTTCCAAATTAATGAATTAATTTAATAAAATGATAAGACAACAGAATTTGAAGTATCAGGGAGTCCAACTGCACCGGAAAACCAAGCTTTGACATCTCGTCAAATTGTTGTTTTAATTTTGTGTTATAGCTGCAACGATAGATAAAATTAAGCTTTTTGAAGATGGTTTCCTTTAGAGTTTTTGTGTAGAATGCGAGGTATTAATTTAAACTATTTTGACCACTTTGTCTTGATTCAATACCATTTATTGGTTTTAGACATTTTTTTTATTTGTGTACGCAAACTAGTCTTTCAGATTAAAAGCTATTTATATGGAAGTCTTTTTTTTGCAGAAAGTATTTAAGCAGGAACAGGCTAGATCAGTCAACTATATCATATAGCTGCCGTTTATACAAAAATAAAATTGTACTGATTACCCATAGATACAATTATTGTTAAAAATTTCAAAAAGTTGAAGGTTCAATCGCTACGACACAACAATCATATTCGAGATTTTTCTAAGGCTATTTCAATTTTCCAGAAAACTCCTTAATCGACTGTGCGTTTTTTCCAAAACAATGCTAATTTGACTAGTTTGTCCTATAAGTGGCAGAGACTGTTTGTTTTCCCTATCTAATCCAAACTAAATACAATCGCAGCCATTTAAATCTGCTATTAGCTAGTTGTATACTATTCATTTTCTTAGCTAGTTATCCGCCCTAGAAAATGGTTTAAAAATAAAACTGCAACGTTGCAGCTTATTATGCTGCCATTTAGAAAAGTTTAAATAAGAATTTAAAGAATAAGTAGCTTGTGCTTGTGCTGAAATTTCTGGAAAATGCTTTTATCTTTTTCAGATGTAGTATAGTAATATCGGGGTGTAAATTAAAACTCCTTCAATCGAAATTGGTAGGTACATACATACATCATATATTCCAGCTAATTTGGTTTGGATTGGTTTATCTGAAATACCGGAATATGTTCTTTACTTAAGTTATTTCCAATAACTAATCCTTTAAGCTAAATAAAATAATTCAATAAGCATTACCTTTTAAAACACCTTTTAAATACATAAATAAACTAAATATAAATATAAAAGTGCATTATAACATAACTAGTGGGTATATATTATTTTACGGACTCCAATAGGTTTTGCCATAAAAATAATATATAATAATAATTCAGATCTATTGGACTCTACTTTAAAACACTCTCATGACTTGTTTTTAGCAACAAAAACATAATAAATGCGCGTTTTATTTCGTTTCTTCATTTTTTCTATTTGTGCTTTGTAAAGCTTTAGTGAGCTGTGATAGCTCTAAACTCGGCGAACTTGCTCTGAGATCGTGATCAAGTTGGCTGCTGCAATTTCTTGCGCTCTCTGAGCCATGTCATGATTCACTCAGCCATTCCTTTCCCTGACTCGTTCGTAAGCTCGTTTTGCAGTGACTTTTCTGTTTTAAACATTTTATATAGTCTTACGTATGTAGCTACTGCTTCAGTTTGGTGCTTAAACGCGTTGCGCGTACTTCATAAGGCCGAAATTAGTTCAGGCTGTTGCAGCTATCGTTTAGTATATATACTTACATATAAGAGAAAATATTGACTTATGTTGTGATTATCCTGCCCCAAATATAATTGCACATTCCAACATATTTCGCAACGCAAAGAAATTCAGTGAAAAAATTGTGAAAATTGAACTGCAGGCCATGGAGCGCAAGGGACTTTATCAGACTTTAATTTTGTTCCTAGCTATATTTTATAACTTTCCTGAAACATCTGCAGTACGCGTTGGCAGCTCTCAACTAAAACAACGAATAAAAGGTAAAAAACAGACAACTATCAACAACTGTTGAAAAAAGGAATAAGCAATTATTTAATAGTTTTAAGTTCATATTTTTTTTGCTTTCTCTTTTTAACTTATTTTTTTTTACAAATCCGAAAAGATAAATCAATTTTTTATACCTAATGTTCAATGGCAAGTTTCGTTGCTGCTTATTGAATTTCCTATGTAGATATATGCACGATATTTGTAATATTACTATATTTATTTTATTTTATGTTGATAATATGTTGCTCTCATCATCAAACACTGAAAAACGTTTAAGAATTATTTGCCCGTCCCTCCTCAAAATGAGATACCTCCGCTGTAAAATATTTCAAAAAAGAGTTCAAAATTCATGGCGCATATGTTTGTAAGCTTTTGAAATATGAATGACTTAATAGGTAAATTACTATGGCAAGCTTACATTCACTTTGGCGACTAGTTGAGAGAATGCTACAATTAAGACAGCTCGACATAAAAACCGGTACATAGTTACAAAATACAAAAAAGGAGTACGATCAATGTCTCCCAAGACCTTAAGTACCCTGTAAACATCAGATTAAATTTAGTTTTTCAAATTGTTAAAAGAAAAGCATATTTATGTAAATTTCTTGTTCTTCTTTTACATTGACGTAATAAAAAATGTATCAGACAGAGATCGTTAATATAACCAATATTATTTTTAATTTTGCATCTCAGAGTATCGTTGATGAATGTTTATATCGTACTTGTTGAAAGACTTATAGATGTTAACACATACGAGTATTGAGTTTTCGTTTCGTTAAGCTTTAAAAACCGGTAGTTCTCCAAGCATTTGGAAGCTAGCTTACATCCGCTATTAGCCAAATGTGAAATTTGTTTGACTGTTGATTAATATAACAATTGATAGTCACTTAATTTTAATATGAAAACTAATAAATAAACCTTTTTAGTAAAGTTATGTGTGATTAACAGCTTCAAGAGTTCATTATTGTGAACAATTTATTAGGATTTACCGAAATTGTATCTACTACTCCTACTTTTCATTTTGTGTAAGATCTATTTATGTATTTAGCCGATAATAATTAATAAACTCATATAAAATGTTAATGTACTTACATGTACCAACATTAAAAAAACAAAGAAATCCAAAATAAAAGCTTTGCTTCATGCATATAACCGTAAACGGCTGTTTTACGCATAAACTTTGTGTGCCAAACTAATACATCTATAAACAACGTTTTCTTTTTATAATTTAAGTTTCACTACAATACTGTGAAAATTGCATAAACTTATATTGGTCCAGTAATTTAATTTATGTGCTTAGACACCCTTCACTTAGTTTTCAAACGTTAAATTTTTGTAAGGGCTGCAAACTAATTTTATAAGACGAAGTATGCTTAAAACGTATTTGCTAAAATGTATTGAAGCCATGTTTAAGTTTAGTCAAAGTGCTCAAAAAGTTTAAAGTAAATAACATCGGAATCCATTTTGCATTGACGCAGCTTATGATCTGCTGATATAATACATCCGATGCAACGGCTAAATAAAATCCAACAAACTTTGTTTAAAATAAATTTCAAGAAAATAGTTTTTTTGACTAAGAAACATGTTACCAAGACATTGTAGACATTAATACCTGTCTAGCAATTTTGTATACAAAATTAACAGAATTAACGGAACACGGATTTCTTGTACTTGGTATATAATATTTTTTTCCAACTTGCAGAAAACGTTCAGATTATAATCAATATAGTTCAAGTGACCTGTAATCTTATTTAGCAATTTCTGATTTTCGAAAATAAATACAAACTTCTCTACCTTAAGACTTGTTGTAACACCTGGTCGTCTTACAAAATCTGAACAGAATTCGATAAAAATATTGTATTTCCAATTTTATATTCAACTAAAATTAAAGATCAGTGATCAGTAAGGAAGTTTATATTCGTATCGCAATTTAGATATAATTTGTAAAAACTAAAAAAAAACTTAAAACACCTTCTTATAAACTCATCATATCTCATTTAGTTTGAAAATATTTCCCTTATTTCCCAGTATAATGTTTTAAAATCAAAAAGTTTTTTTTTTTAATTTAAAAAACATTTTTTTTTAAAATTGGTGGATTGTGGACTAGTTTTTAGCGGAAGAGAGCGAAAGAAGTGATAGTGGAGAGGAGACGTGGTGCTGCTCGCTCTTTGCTACGAGTGCAGTTAATCTTTATTTCGAAATTGCCCAACTGAGTTACTGGTATCTTACAGCGCTTTTCCATGTACTTTTAGAGGAAGACGGAGGCTTTAAAACAAAAATGCGCCAATATTTTATGGACTGTTGGGATATATTTTTTTTTGGTAATTCGGAGCTTAAGGTGTTTTGTAGGTGGAAGAATTTAAATATTAGTACCTCTCTGTGGCGAGAATAAGTTAACATTTTTCTACGCCTTTTTTTGTGTCATTTATATTTTTAAGCTGATAACCTAAAACAGTTGTTTAATTATACATCCTGTATTTGTACCTGAATATTGGAAGCAGACTTTGGCCAATTTCAATCTTTTAAATTAAAATCTTTAAAATTTTACAATATTAACGTGGTAACGGGTTACCAAGTATATTTTTAAACATAGAAGTCTTAAAATTACCAAGGATGTTTGCCTTACAACCATATAGATTTTACACTTTTTTAAAAATTTGTAGGAAAGGTCAAAAGTTTTATTTTTTTAAGTTTTTTTGTACTATTGTGCCACTGTGCGTCGAATGCATTCATTTCTCAAGGTTTTTATTTAAATACAAATTTGTTTTCGTGTTTCCGAAGTTACCAAACTGCATCATAAGTTTTTAAAAAATAACAATTGATTCTGATAGATTGCAAAATATGGGTCTTATGTAGACGCCTGTCGTCCACTGTGTGTATGTACATATCGTCCTAAATTATCTTACTCTAGATGGTCCGAAGTTAGTAAACAACATGAATGACATTTTCAAATAAAATGAAAAGGTAAAATTAAATAACTTCCACCCCATAAAAATATTTCTTCAGATTTATCAAGTTTAAAACCGGTCTGCAACGGGTATAAAATGTCCAGCTTAAAAGTATGACTGATTCAAGGCAACTTTAAGCTACAAATTTGAATACTAATATATGTACATATGCAAGACAGAAAAAGAAAAAGTTAGTCCCACAAATTAAACTTTAAGTTAATACACGTATGTATATGTTTGTGAATATTCTACATATTTAAGTACATTGGTAAATGCTTGCAAAACAAATGTGACTATGTTTGTATGATCAAAGTAAAAAAGTTTCAGGAGCTCCTCTCACAAAATAAAACAACGAGTTCGAATTTTGTGTTTGCAAACCCGAAAAGTGTGTCAATACCTGTCGGATAAGTCAAACTATTTTTTTAAAAGTATACATATGTATGTACAATGTTTGCATGTATGTTAAATTTGTTTTGTATATATATGTCGAAAAACAACTTTTATATTGTTGCAGAGGGTTTTTTTTTAGTCTTAGCCAAAAGTTTGCAACGCAGTGAAGGAGACATACAATTTATATCCGTCCGACCGTCCGTTTCTATGTGTTTATTTAACTTAGGTACATATCTGAATCATGCTTTACCAAAAGAATGCTTTCTATTACAGGTAGTAGTCGGAACGGGCCAGATCGGAAGGCTATATTATATAGCTATAATTTCAATAATCAACAAAAATTTTTTGAAAGCAAACAGCTTCCCTTTTTTATAATGTACGCATATACTCAGGGCTATTTTTTTAATTTCCAAAATAGGGTTTTCTAGCACTTACGCATATAACAAGAGAAATACATATTATTACGGTTTCAAAAATACATTTTTAATTTTCTAAATATCGAATCAGTTACATAGCTGATTTGGGAACGATCAAAAATTTATTGGGAAATCTTACCATCTTTGTTTCATTTACGTTTCAAAAGTACATTTTTAATTTTCAAAATATCGAATCACATAGCTGACATGGAAACGATCGAACAATTTATTGGAAAATCGGTAACCATCGTTGTTTCATTTACGTATCTATCTATTTATTGTCCTTTCATAGATAAATATTTTATAGCTTCAGGGGTATATAAACGTCATTTTAGCTGGTTTTATTTGACAAATAAATGCGCCTTATATCTGCTCAAAAATGTTATGACAAATTAAAAAAAATCATTATTTTTGTTTTTTGTGTACGCCAATATTTCCGTACTTAAGTATGTACATATGTATGTAAATAAAATGATAAGCGACTTAAGCAGATATAAATATAATGTTTTTTTTTTCAAAAATATTCTCTACCTCTAATTTAGCTCGTATTGAATCTTGACAATCTAGGTCAAAAAAAGAAACAGTCAAAATAACTTACAAAACGAGACTTAGTTGAGGAGCAAGTTTTCTGGTTAACTCTGAAACTGTATACATATGTAATTCATATCAGTGTACATACAGAAACTTTTAAGTGTATTAAGTGCCCGTGCTCTGTATCAAGCTCTCTTTGCAGCTCAACGAAATGGAACAGAAAAACTAGTTGACGACAGCCGACAAGAAAACTACTAATTTTGCTACATATGTATGTAGTTGTGCCGGAACGTTTTTGCAAGAAATTAACAATATCAAACCGACTGAAAAGCAAAGCCACAGACTAAGTAAGCATACGAACCAAAGAAAATAAAAGACAATCTAACTCGCGACTTATGGAGACAACTGGGCCAGATATCTTTAGTCTATACGTTGAGTATACAAATGTACTTTAGGGAGGGCTTTTATAAGGTAAGATAGCTTTCATTGTTTGAAATGATAGGGTTTTTTGTCCCATTCGCAAACTAAAGATTTTTATTTTAATTTGTTTTACCAAAAAAAATAAATATTTGTATTTGAATATTAAACATAAAGTTTGTTAAGACCTTCGCAAATAAAAGTATTGGTCGATACCACGATACTCACATTTTTTTTTAAGAAGTACTCAGGGACTAAGATTTCTTAAGCGAAACCACGAAATAGAAAGCTATTTTGAATAGGTAAAAGGAGAAAACTGTATCTACGGCACATATATGAAAGTAACTAATAAGCTTCCGAAAAGGGCTGACCTCCAACAATTTTAAAATTTTTAGAATGCATGTATTTTAAGGCGCTGATTAAGAAGAATTAGGTGGAAGTTCTTAAAAAAAAGAAGCACAATGCCAACGATTTTTCTTGTTATTACCCAAAATAACACCCTTTTTAAAAAAATGTAGATCTAGTGAAAATACATTTTATGTTATATAACTTTTATTGCGTAAGTTAAGATTTTACGAGACAAAGGCATTCCATGCCTAAAAATGTAAATGTACTTCGAAGGGTTTTGCTTTCACTTTTTTCTACTTACAAAACAATTCATAGTGAAAAATCCCCAACCCATGTTTATATATGGCTTCGATTACGAAAGTTGTAAATAAAATAGTAATTTAACTAAAAAAAGGTGAATTAGTTATATTAACTATAACCTTAACATTTCCAAAAGTAAATTCATCCTACATTACTTAAAGATGTTTCACTTGACTTTCAGCTAGTGTAAAATTATTTTAGGACTTTCTCTAGAAAATATCCTTTACAAGAAATTTTCTGTGTGTAACAAGTGGGCCTATGGTGCATAGCTTTAGAACAATTAGGGAATTATAAAGGCAAAATCGGTGATTTTTAAGTTTGAAGTGTCTGGGCACAAGATTGCTAAAATTTCAAGAGCAAGTTAATATAATTGAATTAGACAAACGGATATAAATTTATAGAAAGGGCCGTTATGATTGCAGAAAATCTGTCTTTTTACACAATATTTAAAGGGATCAAATAAAGCAGAGATTTTTTTATAGCGCAAAAGCTTTAATTTTGTAGTTTCACTAGTATTCGTATAAACAAATGTTCCTTACAAAAGCCTAGCCTAGCATTTTGGATGATCAATTCGGCGGTTATATAAATGTAAAAGTCTCCTTGCGCACTCTACTATAAGATCTACTAAAATATGAAAAAGTGTAGTGTTTAATTCTTAAAAGAAAGTAAGGTCATCTGGGTGGAGTCGTTTTTGAACATGTATTTAATAATCGGACAAACAATAGTAACAGTGTGAACGGAGCCTCAATGGGTACTTTCAAATCATTTTCGCATACAAATGTATTTTTTATGTGAGTGGCTGACCTCAATCATTACCTTTGAAATGTTTAAAGTTCGGAAAGTTCGTTAACAAGGCATTCAATGTATGATCAAACCCTTTTTACAGTTACTTTTGCGTACAAACTTTACGAAATTTTCACGGCGAGCTGAGTATTAACTTAATAATATTAAGGCGTTCTGGTTTTGAACTAAGCTGTTCGGATTGAAACACAATAGTGTCTTGTGTATTATATGTATGCGTACGCAGATATTTATGATTTCGTTATTGGCGCAGTATTTCTTATTAAGTAGCCTTTGAAGGTCAAATTATGTTCGCCACACCTTTTTAATTTTTTTGGCTGTTTCACTCGGCAGCGAGGTGCGGTCCATTGTCTTAACTTTCACTTTGCTGCAAAGCGTCACACGAATTGTGTATATTTTACTGGTTTTATTCCAATCTGCCTTTAAGTAGACCTTCTCCACACTATTTATTATATGACACGAACAATATAGGGCTATAGGAACACAGGTTAAATTATATAAATACAATGAAATCTATACAGTAGTGTAAAATTTAGAAAACCAAGAAAATATTTCATTTGTATAAAATAAATTTGTCTTAGTGAATTTAGCTTAATTTCCGTGGTGTCACGTGGTGCCAATAGTCAATAGTCCGTACTGAGCAAAAAATTTGAGTAAACTTTTAGTACTGATCTTGTATTTTAGCAATCTTTAAAATCCAAAAAGAGGGCAACACTATTGATTAAACCACATTAATACAATATAAAACAATAACATTGACATTAAAAAAAAAAGCATTATTGGGACAAATACAAAAATGAAATAATAACAAGAAAGGAAGCAAACTTCGGTATCCATCTATTACAAGGTAAAAAGCGGAAGGAGAGATTTATTCAGCTGCGGTCATTAAAAATAGTAGTAGACTTAGCAATTGATAAGCACAATGTATTTTAACCAAATCATGAAAATTAGAATATATAAATTTATTATTAACAGCTCAGAAAATTTTTTAGTACTTCTTTATAAAGATTTGCACTACAGGGCTCATAACAGAAAAATCTCATCATTTTGGCCGTTCCTTAAAATAACAGTGGCTACTTTAAATTTAAAAACATATTAAATATATTATATCTTCTTCTTCTCCTTCACTGCGTTGCAAACTTTTGACTGAAATTAATACCCTATGCAAGGGTATAAAAGTGTGTAAAACAATATATTTCAAAGTTTTCAGTGCACAGTTTGCAGCACCGTGAATGAGACTTTTTGACCCTATTATTAGCATATCCTTTATTTTGCATCGCGGCGTGGCATAGAATCGATAAGATTCTGTTACCGCTGTATAGGAATTTCATTTCAAGCTTGCAAAACCACTTGCCAAAGCTGAGATTTGATCCCTGGTTTTACAATTACAGCTCTCTTGACATCCCATTATAAGTTTTCGATCGGTTTTTAGTCCGGGGATTGAGCTGCCCATGACATTACATCGATATTTTTGGATGCTTGGGATTGTTATTTTGTCGGAACATTCACTTAAAGGACATTTCCCAATTGGCATATATGGTAGCATTATGTTTTTTAAAAGATGGACGGAATCAGTCCCACAATCATGATGCTTAGATCAGTGTATAATGGTTTTATGGTGTTTTTTCAGGAACCAAAAATAACAAGTAGCACTCTAAAACTAACGGAACTTTCCCTCTTTTCCATTCCTTACATTTCATTTTGTATGACTGGAAAAATTATAAGAGACATGCAAAAAAATATTAGATTAGTTGAGGTCCGCTCCTGAAATGACGGCCCTTCTACCCTATCCTCTATAGCTTTCCCATCTGCTCTTGTCGGCATTAACAACTCCCCGTCATCGATCTCTGTTCCAACTATTCTAAGCTATGCTTTTTTCCCCATCACCCGAGCAGACCATTATGGAACCTCTCTCTCCGGTTCACGTCTCGAATAACACAATTTTCGGCAGCTTTCTTAACCTGCGTTGCACATTCGAAATAACTTTCCAACGGCCACAAACGAAAAAATTAAAGGGCACACACTTTAAACTGGGGTATATTAGGCAGACGAGGGCTCTTGTATGGCTTTGAGTCGGTTAGCCGCTTATTGTATTTGCTGCTTATCGTACATTGTATTGAACGCCTTTTCATTTTTTTCTAGTCGATTTTTCCGCTCACTTTTGACTTTCTACGCCTTTTCTGACATAACCCGTCTGTCTAAGGGCCTTTAACACATTCCAATAAAGGCAGTTTCCGTCGACGTCTTATCCGCTCGCGTGGTAAAAGACTAAAAAAGGTCTCTCTCTTTGCTTAGCATTTTTAAAAGAGTGTTTCAGAGTGTTTCGTATAGGCAATCATACGTGGACAGTTCCATATTCTCCCTTTAAAAGGAACCCAACTCCCAAGCAGTCACCAAAATCAAAACTAAAGGACGAGGATGGCTTATATTCTTTTATTATAACAAGGAACGAAAACAAAATAAAAAAAAATATACGGTTCAATTTTAAAATTGGCACACTAAGAAGTTGTGCTCTGCAGTCATTCTTTTGTGCCTCTAGCATGCGTAGCATGGCAGAGCTTTAAAGATATTATTTTAAAATCTGTTCACCTTAAACAAACACTAGTGAACTTTTAATCTGGAAAATTGGACCACTAAAAAGCAAACTTTAAAAAGAATAGTGAAAATGTTGAGAAACAAAATAGTAGGAAGTCAGATATAGTCAGATATAGTCAGCCGATCCCGGCCGTTCCGACTTATATACTGCGTGCAAAGGAACGAAGGGTGTGTGCAAAGTTCCGACTTATATACTATCTTCAATAAAAAGACAACTTTTGGGAAAGTTTCAAGCTTTAAAACGGAGGACTAGTTTGTGTAGAAACGGACGGACGGACGGGCAGACGGACAGACGGACGGACGGACGGTCCCCCCTGTGATGCTGATCAAGAATATAAATACTTTATAGGGTCGCAACCGTCTCCTTCACTGCGTTGCAAACTTTTGACTGAAATTAATACCCTATGCAAGGGTATAAAAGTGTGTAAAACAATATATTTCAAAGTTTTCAGTGCACAGTTTGCAGCACCGTGAATGAGACTTTTTGACCCTAAAAGGTATATATGTATATTCTTGATCAGAATCACTAGGTAAGTTGATCGAGCCATGTTCTGGCATGTTACGTCTATTATTAAACGATAAGCCTCGGACGACTTATACATCGTGAATAAATTAGTTAGTATCTCCGTGAAATTCCAAAGGAATTAAACGCGCAGAAGAAAATTAACAAAAAAGAAATGAAGTTTCTATCAGAAACCCCCGACTTAAGCTGCGATGCCCTTACACTTGTTATTACGATTTAATAATAGTCATCGAAATTTCTAATTAAAAGTCGAAATGTATCCCCTTGAATTTAAGTGGATGTTATGTATGTTGGAGTTATTAAAAATTCCGTTATTTCAACTGATCCTTTATAAAATTCAAGCGGAGTTATTCGATTTCGATTTTTCCATACATTTTGTGATTAAGCTTATCAATTTTTATAAGCTTAAAAGAGTATTTTTGCAATCGAAAGAAAACTATATTACTAGTTGTACATATAAAAAAATAAAGAAACTTTGTCGATTTGCATATAAATGTTCGGATATTTTGTTTATCACATCGCTCTCTATGATTTTGATTTCAATCATGCTAATCACATTTAAATCTGCACTATCTGTAGTTCATCATATCTTAAAATGTTATCTGATGGCGTTCACATTACAGCGATACCAAGCGCGCTAGGCTCATTTATTTTATAAAGGTTCTGTTGCCTTAATTAATATTTGGATTTCTCATCGTTTATTTATCCAGAAAATCAACCGGATCTAACACCATCGGGGTCCTTTTGGCAGCAACATGTGGCTACTCCCAGTAGTTCAACTCCATTCGATTCACCTTTTTATTCGGCAACACACGGCCTTGTCCAGACTCACCCCTCAATAAGTGCGAGCAATCCCGGCGCCGCTCCTCTAAACAGTAATAGTCTTGGGACTGGCATTCCAGCCTCAAGCATTGCTGGTAGTAAGCCATCCTTGACCGCTGGTAGCGGGTACCTAAACTCACGCGGAAGTCTGCCAACCTCTGCTCGTTATCCAGCTAATAAGGTCACAGGCACCGTGGTTGAACCCAATCCAAAGTCTCCATTTCGTCACTTAGACTTCTCAACCAGCGCAACTGCTGAGCTGCGTCGCAATCCTGCCCTATCTGCTCCGGATGAATGTGCTCGTGCTTGTCGCGAGGGCGAGCCTCCGAGAATTTGCTATTATCACTTTACGTTGGAGTACTACACCGTATTGGGCGCGTAAGTATAAAATTACCTTATATTTTCGAACAAAAGACAACATTTTAGAACACTAGTTTCCTAAATATAATTTAAAAAAATGCTCCCTTACCATTTTTGGTACAACTAATTAGAAATAATTATAATCATTTGCTAAATAATTTTTATTATACCCTTGCAGAGGGTATTATAATTTCATTCAAAAGTTTGCAACGCAGAGAAAGAGACATTTCCGACCCTATTCTTGATCAGCATTAGTAGGAGAGTCGGTCTAGCCATGTCCGTCCGTCCGTCTGTCCATCTGTCCGTCTGCCCGTCTGTCCGTCAGTCTGTCCGTTTCTACGCAAACTAGTCCCTCACTTTTAAAGCTCTCTGCTTGAAACTTTTCCAAAAGTTGTCTTTCTGGTAGTATATTGCAGGTAGTATATAAGTCGGAACGAGCCGGATCGGGCGACTATATTATATAGCTCCCATAGGAAGCGTGAAGCGTTCAAAATTACATGTGAAGACATCATGATAATTTTGCTGTTATCCGGAATCAGCCAAGACAAATCAGAAAGGCGGAATCAGAAAGACAAACTCTTCGATACATTTTTGATTAAACGACAAATGTCGGTGTCCTTTACTCCTCAGCAAAGCATGCCACTCAGCCTGCATGTTATATGCATTCCGGCCATGATGAGTCTGACTAGTGTATCATGGTAGGCTACTTACTAATAGCAAGGATATATAGATAATATTTTCCAAAGTCAAGAAAAGTAATGGAAAGCTTCTGAGAACGTTTATCAATACTTTGCTGATTCTTCATGTAACTCAGGTAATAAGTGACGTTGAAAATAAGTTATGATTCGTAGGTCCCTGCGCACTATCAAGCTGCTTCACAGGAATACCTGCTAATATAAAGGAAGCGCCAAATTCTTGGATGAGTTTGAATTGGTTTTAAATGGGTTTTCGGAGTAAAACTAGAAAAACACGGCTATTGTAAACCATTTAAACCCAGGTTAGTTGCGACATGTAGCGCGCAGTTGATTGGAATCGATTGCCTTGAAACGTTTTTTGCGGTAGTCAGATACTCTTCTGTCAAGATGATATTGGCGCTTGAAGTGATGTATAAGTGGTTCCTGCATCAAATGTATGTCCCATTTGCGAAATTAAAAAATGCTTTGTTTGAGCAAGTTTTCATGAACCAATAGGAGGGCTTCACTAGAGTTGGCGAACCGAGTAAAGTTCTAAGGCTGAAGAAGTCGCTTTATGACTTATAGCAAAGCGGCAGAGAATATAATTCCAAACTGGATCCATCGACTAGCCTTTACTTCGTTTTTCAGTAAGTCTCGTGTTATATAAATATCATATATATTTTTTGACGATATTTTAGTGGCATTCTCATCAAAAGATGAATTGAATGAATTAAGCATTTGTTGCATATCGGCCATTCTATTAGCTGAGTAGGAGATCCAACTTGGATAAGTGTTGGAAATCAGAGTGAAGTCTTTTTAAAAAGCTTCCAATCGCTTAGAGGTTCCTTGATGTGTTTGGATATCACAACAGGGCCACATATTCTTTGTTTCGCTGAAAAATAATTTACGTTCGTTACAAAACTACAAACAAAACTTCGTTCTACATTTTTCTTCTCTAGATTTTTACAATGTCTTAGTATTTAAACTTAATGTCCTTTTAACTTTATGTCCTTTTCGGTGCAGCTTCTTATAGCTAGCAACATAAACTTTAGTTCCAATATTTATCAAGTCCACTTCCGAAGGAAAACTAGAAATGACCTAAGTGATTCCATATGAAACAATCTGCATTTTTTTAACACGAAAAATATATTTTGATACAGTAGCCAAATACAATTAATTTTTAAAAATTTTGAGACGTTTAGGAACCTTTTAAATATATTATATAACAGCAGTCTATTGAAATTTGTGCACAAAAATAAAAATAACCATTCGAAGAAACATTTCGTATTTTTTTTTTTATTTTAAACTAATGCGTTTTTAAGCCTTTTCTTTGATTAAAACGTTTTAAAAACATTGTTTTCGGTTCGGTTGGCAATTACATACAAAGTGAAAAAAACAATTCTGTAGTGGCTGGTGTTAGACAAGGACAAAAGTACAAGTTGGCAAAATAAAAATTCTACCTTCTAATTACAAAATGGAAATTTCTTGACGGTTAAAAAAAGTTTTACATAGCCTGCAGAAAAGTAATAAGCGATTAGTTCTTTTTATACCCTTGCAGAGGGTATTATAATTTTGGTCAAAAGTGTGCAACGCACTGAAGGAGACATCTCCGACCCTATAAAGTATATATATTCTTGATCAGGATCACCTCCTGAGTTGATATAGCCATGTCCGTCTGTCCGTCTGTCTGTTTCTACGCAAATTAGTCTCTCAGTTTTAAAGCTATCGAGTTGAAACTTTGCACACACCCTTCTTTCCTTTGCACGCAGTATATATGTCGGAACGGCCGGGATCGGCCGACTATATCCTATAGCTGCCATATAACTGATTGATCGGAAATGCCATAACTTTGGTGTTTGTAAAGTTAGGAAGTTGGAATTTTCTATGGATTTTATATTTGGCCAATCAATCCGACCTACTAAATTTCATAAGGATCGGCCGACTATATCTTATAGCTGCCATATAACTGATTGATCGGAAATGCCATAACTTTGGTGTTTGTAAAGTTAGGAAGTTGGGATTTTCTATCGGTTTTATATTTGGCCAATCAATCCGACCTACCAAATTTCATAAGGATCGGCCGACTATATCCTATAGCCGCCATATAACTGATTGATCTGAAATGCCATAACTTTGATGTTTGTTAAGTTAGGAAGTTGGGATTTTCTATGGGTTTTATTTTTGGCCAATCAATCCGACCTACCAAAGTTCATAAGGATTGGCCGACTATATCCTATAGCTGCCATATAACTGATTGATCTGAAATGCCATAACTTTGGTGTTTGTTAAGTTAGGAAGTTGGGATTTTCTATGGGTTTTATTTTTGACCAATCAATCCGACCTACCAAAGTTCATAAGGATCGGCCGACTATATCTTATAGCTGCCATATAACTGAACGATTGGAAATGCTATAACTTTGGTGTTTTTAAAGTTAGGAAGTTGGGATTTTTTATGAGTATTAAGAATGCATCATATGAATAATTTTGGAGAATATAATTTACAGAGTATTCTGCAAGGGTATATCAACTTCGGCTCCGGCCGAAGTTAGCTTTCCTTTCTTGTTTTAATTATGCTAGTTAGGTTTAGTTGGCTGCCCTTCGAGTTATATTCTTTCTGTTTAATAAATGTTTTCCCCGATCTTTTTAAAGGAGCCCCAGAACAAATTTCTTTGCATTGTAAAAACGAACAAACAATTTGAACAAAAGGAAAAAAATTAAAAACGGTTTGATATTTTTACTAGATAAAAAAAATTGTATTTATCAAAACCTGATCTTATACTTATAACTCTTCTGATCACCTGGAAGGGTGGTGAGTTTTCCCCGGTAGTGAGGAATATTTTATTCCTATGTTTCATTGAGTCATAGTAGTCTTCATTCTTTCTTCCTTTTTCTAAACGGCTAGTCCTAGAACGGCTTCTTGGACTGTCTCTTAGAGCAACAGCCATGATCATAAATCGTCAGCATGCGTATACAAAGCTAAAGTTTACCGAAACGACGTTCTTGGCCTCCATATGGCGAAGTCCCTTTACCATACGGAACTTACACAAGCTTCTGTTCTCTTTTTGTTCCCGATATGTTTCATATATGTTCCCGATGTTTGAATAATAGTTATACCCGTTATTCGTAGAGTAAAAGGGTATATTGTATTCGTGCAAAAGTATGTAACAGCTAGAAGGAAGCGTTTCCGACCCTATAAAGTATATATATTCTTGATCAGGGTCACTAGCCGAGTCGATATAGCCATGTCCGTCTGTCCGTCTGTCTGTCCGTATGAACGCTGAGATCTCGGAAACTATAAAAGCTAGAAGATTGGCATTTTGCATGCAGATTCTAGGAGTTCCTACGCAGCGCAAGTTTGTTTCAAAAAGGTGCCACGCCCCCTTTAACGCCCACAATCGCTAATATACGATTTTAAAAATTTAAATATTTAGTAAAAGTAAAAATGCAGTTTTATTGTTTTTATCAATACCTATCGAAATGTAGAAGAAATTTTTCAAATCGGACCATGCGTTAAAAAGTTATGCGTGATCAAAGTTTCTATCTCCATCTCCCTCGCACTCCCTTTACCTGAGTAACGGGTATCTGATAGTCGGGGCACCCGACTTTAGCGTTCTCTCTTGTTTTAAAATAGTTTGCAATGTGGTATTCTCGCTCTTCCGCTGACCGGTCTTTATTAACCGTTAGGGACTATTTCTTGCTTTTCGAAAAGAGGTTGTAATCTCCCAGATTAAATGTTTAGCAAGTCCAAACAGTCTCACAGTCGTGGGGTCAGCAATAAAGGCACCCCAACTCTAGCAAATGGCAATATAGTTTGAGCTGCGAAGCTCTCAAATATCTCTTTTCCCGTCAGATTTATTTGACTTTCAGGCGGTGTGATTTTTTCAAAGAGGTTTTTCGGTCTTATCTAGCCCTGATTCTACCTCTTAAAGGCTAAGGCTTAATGTCCATTTTCACTTTTTGTTCTACAAAGTTAAAGATTTTAATTTATAATATGCGCTTTTTTAATTGCAACGTCTACATTTTTTGCTTTGATAGAAGTACGGAAACCTTACAGTGGTTAATCTTTATTTGAAGAAAGATCTGAATGGCACTTAAAGCATATTTTTATATTCTTGCAGAGGGTATTTCTACGCAAACTAGTCCCTTAGTTTCAAAGCTATTTGGATGAAACTTTGACAAAAGGGTTCCTTCCGTTGCAGGTAGGAAATAAGTGTAACAGCAGCAGGGGTATATCAACATCGGCCTGCCAAAGTTAGCTTTCTTTCTTGTTTTATTCATTTTCTGCCGGTTTTGGTATATCAGTCTTATTTTCCCTTAGTTGTCAGGACTTTTACTGTTCCTGGCAAGTCCACATAAATGGCATTTTTATTGCAGATATAATTTATGCGGCAGAGATACCATATTGGTTGACAATACCTTCACAGCGTTTTGCAGTTCCGCAGTTTAGTGTCGGAGATTTTATACGTTTAGCAATTTTTTTAGATTCTAGGCCCCTGTTCCGCCAACACTTCTGCGATGTTTTTGACCTCCAATTTTTTCTTAGAAGTTCCCAGATCTGCGATAACTGCGCGTGGAAGGCGACGAACCTTTGTTCGCCGGCGAGCGTTCGATCACTTTTGACACAATTTTAAGTCAAGCCACAGAGTCTACTACCTCCATATCCCTGCTAGCCAATTTTTCTGGCGTTCTAGGAAATTAAACTAATACCACGGCACTGCTCTTTCGCACGTTCGTTCGCTGAGCGTGAAAAAGATTTTCTTAATATTTGAAAAGAATACACCCGAAACAATTCCGATAAAAATTAGTTGTCCTCTAAAGACGACAATCAGGTACCTATTAATCTGTAAGCCAATGTCATTAAAAATAAAGCAATTCTTTTTTTTGTGTATTGATATCCCGCTAAAAAAATTACCATGTCTCTACAGACTATCAAGATCTGTGGGTACATAAGCATCATAAGCATTTGCAAGCTTAATCTCAACTCTTTTAGCTCCCGGAATCTCCATGTTCATACGCACGGACAAACTTAGCTGGCAGCTCCGATTTTGAATTATTTTTCTTAATGAAGCGGATAGTTACAATTTCATTGCATTAAATCATTTAAATAAAAATAATAAAAAAAGTCCTAAAATTTTGTTGTATTTTTAAATTTGAGAGATTTTATTTGTTATCAGGGAAAAAAATATAATTTGAGCCTTCATTGTGATAAGACGATCGTATAAAACGTCAATATATTAATTTTAATGTATACACACAAAAAAGAAACAATTTTGAAAATTTGTTATAACAATTTAATTTTTTTTTTATTCAGAGCTTGCCAAGTATGCACTCCAAACGCAACAAATACGGTTTGGAGTCATTGCCAGTGTGTATTAGCTGATGGCGTTGAACGTGGAATTTTGACTGCAAATCGTATGATACCCGGCCCGAGTATTCAAGTATGCGAAAACGATAAAGTTGTCATTGATGTGGAGAACCACATGGAGGGAATGGAAGTAACTATTCACTGGCACGGTATATGGCAACGTGGTTCGCAGTACTACGATGGTGTACCCTTCGTTACCCAGTGCCCCATACAGCAGGGTAATACCTTCCGTTACCAATGGACAGGCAACGCCGGGACACACTTCTGGCACGCTCATACTGGTCTTCAGAAACTAGATGGACTTTACGGTAGCGTCGTCGTTCGCCAGCCACCATCAAGGGACCCAAATTCTCACTTATATGATTTCGATTTAACAACTCATATCATGCTTATCAGTGACTGGTTGCACGAAGATGCTGCAGAGCGGTATCCCGGACGACTGGCGGTAAACACAGGCCAAGATCCAGAATCAATGCTGATCAACGGCAAGGGCCAGTTTCGCGACCCAAACACAGGCTTTATGACTAATACACCACTAGAAATATTCACAATTACACCAGGACGTCGATACCGCTTCCGGATGATTAATGCATTTGCTTCAGTGTGTCCAGCACAAGTAACGATTGAGGGTCACGGCATGACGGTTATAGCAACCGATGGTGAGCCTGTCCATCCGGTTGATGTCAACACAATTATTTCATTTTCAGGTATGTACCATTTTAAACAAAAACATAGTGTTCTACTGATATTAAGCCCCTTCCAAGAATATATAATGAATTTAGCACCACGGATTTGTCGTGAGATATTGTTTTGTATCGCCAATTCAAGTTAAAATGCACTCGTTATGTAATAACTACAAGGTATATAAAAGTCGGCTTGCCGAAGTTTGCTTAATTTCTTGTTGTATTTTAATTCGGAACCATTCAGAGAAACACATAAAAATCAAGAAGAGAAGCAAACTTCGGCAAGCCAGGGTTTATGTACCCTTGCTGTTATTACAAAACGACTACATTTCGATTTCTATGCCTATATTTCTAAAAACAATGAAGCTTTGCCAATTTTGTGCTGCATTTTGCCATCGTTTCTATGGCATGTTGTCCGATTTTGACAAAACTAAAAGCGTAGTTCTGATATAGTAAATAATTACTATATATCAAAGGAATATTTTGATAAATAGAAAAACAGCAGTGGTGCTCAGCCCATAAGCACGCGGGTTTTTGTTTTGTTTTTGTATTGTCAGAAGGCATGCCTGCGGTCACTCGCCTATCTTACATTGGGCACTAGTGGATTCTTCTTTGTGTCGCTGTCTATAACAGATGAGAGCGAGCTAAGCCAACAACTCACAATGCAAATTGTTGTTGTCTTGCTCTCGACTCTTCACTGACACCTTTCCTTGCTACGTTTTTGATAGAACTTTTGATTTTGGTTGTGGACCAGCGACGCGTTCATTTCGTTTGATAAGTGTTGATAAAATTAATGATACATTGGATTACTTCGCAATAAATTTGAAATTTTAAAAATCAATGCCTTATTTGCCACAAGGTTATGTTGCACGAAAAAACATTTTTTTTGTAAATAAAATCATTTGTTAGAATCAAACGTGTTTCTTTCTCTCAGTATTCATCTTGCAGCAATAAAACGGCGTCGATACATGTCTGCGTGTTTTTATACCCTTGCAAGGCCTTGCAGAGGGTATTATAATTTTGGTCAAAAGTGTGCAACACAGTGAAGGAGACATCTCCGACCCTATAAAGTATATATATTATTGATCAGGATCATCTCCTGAGTTGATATAGCCATGTCCGTCTGTCCGTCTGTCTGTCCGTCTGTCTGTTTCTACGCAAACTAGTCTCTCAGTTTTAAAGCTATCGAATTGAAACTTTGCACACACCCTTCTTTCCTTTGCACGCAGTATATATGTCGGAACGGCTGGGATCGGCCGACTATATCCTATAGCTGCCATATAACTGATTGATCGGAAATGCCATAACTTTGGTGTTTGTAAAGTTAGGAAGTTGGGATTTTCTATGGGTGTTATATTTGGCCAATCAATCCGACCTACCAAATTTCATAAGGATAGGCCGACTATATCCTATAGCCGCCATATAACTGATTGAACGGAAAAGTTGGGATTTTTTATGAGTATTAAGAATGCATCATATGAATAATTTTGGAGAATATAATTTACAGAGTATTCTGCAAGGGTATATCAACTTCGGCTCCGCCCGAAGTTAGCTTTCCTTTTTTGTTTTTATTCGTGTTGGTAAGGGCACTGCTGCAAGGCAATTTTGAGCACCCCTGATATAGATCATTCGGTCAAAGAAACGTATAAAATACCATTAGGTCATTTTGGTTAGCTTTACTGCAGTAAGGGTAAACTATAATCATAGTTGTCATATGTAAGTGGTAAATTTTAAAATCATCAATCGGCAACTATATAAATATGCTTTTTAAAACGTAACAATCAATGTTGTTCAATGTTGCGCTTGGTCATTTTCTTAGTTTTACACTCTTACAGCTTTTAACATATATAATGTTTCGCACACTTTAAAGACAGTTACACATAAAAGGTACAGGAACTTATATCGGTAAAAGATACAGAGTTCCCAGTTTTCCGATTCTGATTTCAACATTAGCTGTTTTTGAAATCAAACAAAATACTGCCGATTTGAATTTCAAATATTTCATTTCCATTTCATTTAATACTCATTACATACGGCTACTGTTTCCTTGATGTCAGCAAAAAACAATTTATTTAAACTATTTGTTATCAGAGTTTGAAAAACTGATAGCTGTTATGGTGAGCTCGACAAACCGTTCAAATAAAAGCAAAGCAAGACAAGAAAGGAAAGCTAACTTCGGGCGGAGCAGAATACTCTGTAAATTATATTCTCCAAAATTATTCATATGATGCATTCTTAATACTCATAAAAAATCCAAACTTCCTAACTTTAATAACACCAAAGTTATGGCACTTCCAATCATTCAGTTAAATGGCAGCTATGAGATATAGTCGGCCGATCCTTATGAAATTTGGTAGGTCGGATTGATTGTCCAAAAATAAAACCCATACTTCCCAACTTCCTAACTTTACAAACACCAAAGTTATGGCATTTCCGATCAATCAGTTATATGGCAGCTATAGGATATAGTCGGCGGATCCCGTTCCGACATATATACTTCGTGCAAAGGAAAGAAGGGTATGTGCAAAGTTTCAATTCGATAGCTTTAAAACTGAGAGACTAGTTTGCGTAGAAACAGGCAGACGGACAGACAGACGGACAGACGGACATGGCTATATCAACTCAGGAAGTGATCCTGATCAAGAATATATATATTTTATAGGGTCGGAGATGTCTCCTTCACTGCATTGCAGTGAGTTCTTACCAAATTTTGTAAAAATATTTTTGAAAGACAATTCTGAAGAAAAGTTTAGTAGCCCCTGCTAAGTGTATGAACAAATAATTTGTATGACTTAATTCATTTTATACTATACAACAAAACGAAATTACTTTACATTTTAGGTGAGCGCTACGATTTCGTTATAACCGCGGATCAACCTGTTGGTGCATATTGGATACAGCTACGTGGTCTTGGTGAGTGTGGTATTCGTCGAGCTCAGCAACTGGCTATTCTGCGGTACGCTCGAGGACCTTATCAGCCTGCCTCCGTGGCGCCAACATATGATGTGGGAATTCCACAAGGTGTGGTAAGTATCAGTTCGGTTAAAAATACCAATAACATAAAAAAAATGAATCTGTTTTCTAAAAATAAATCAACAGTTATACCGAAAATTTAAAACACAATTTTGCTCAGGTTTCTTTCTTAACTTATTGTATAAAATCATTACGAAAAGAATATGTCTTCAAAACAGCATAAACACCAATATAAACACAGGCACAGTGGATTTTTACGCAAATACTTACTAATTTTATTATGTTAATAATCGATACTGCGTTTAATATTTTCTATAATTGAATCGTTGAATGTTCAAATATGACCAACACTTTTAGCACCAATAGCACCCCCCGCCATCATAATTGGTCTTAAATAGTTGTATGAGTACTTAATTTAGGTAATTACATCTACTTTAATATTCTGAGTTGCAAAATAAAAGATTCAAGATGGCGGATCCAATATGGCGGAAAAAGCAAAAAAATGTGCTTGAATTCACTTAAAACTTCACTGGGGGTTTTTAGGATCGCTTAAGAGCACAAAAAAATCCCATGTAATAAGTTTTATTAAAATTCGATATGATTTTCGAAATCAGTCGCCATATTGGATCGGCCATTTGGAATATTAAAAATCTGATGTCAGATTCGTGTTCAGCGACCCTAAAACCATTGAGTAAAGTTTTAAGTGAAGTTTTAAGTGAATTCAAGCACATTTTTTACATTTTCCGTTAAGACCAATTATGTGGGCGGGGGTCATACGTTGGCGTGGAATGCCCCATATATAAAATTGAGTAAGCTGTATTTGGTGCTAACTGATAATTGAATAGGCCATGTTTGTATAAATGTATAGTAAGCACCTATAACTGAATGACCTCATCTTTAAGAAAACTAGGTAAGACGGCAGTAGAGCATGAACCGTGGAAGTGGATATTTTTCTCCCAATAGTGGATTCAGTCCCCTCAATCTATCTAACCAAATCTGCAGATTTATTTTCGGCTTAGCTATAATAGGCTCTGTAACAATTTTACTTGTTTGGCTATGACGGTACTTGAATATAAAATATCTAAAAAATAGAATGATCCTAATTTTGCTTAACTTATGGCCCCGCTTAAAATATTACAGCATAGAAACTATTGCCTTTTGTCTGAAATTCAAACCCGACTCTTCAATTCAGCCCTTTCAAGTACCCATAGCATATTTTATAATAATGGTATACATTTATACAATTCAGCTGTCCTTGCTGTTAATAATGATACTATGTTATTTTTGTTTAGCCTTAGTGTTGTTTTTCCTGATTTTGTTAGTTTTATTTGAAAATCAAAACAAAGAGCAGCCGAAAACAGTGTAAACAGTAGTTTTGCTTCATTTCGTTAGCTCCGTTATCTATAGTAATCTCGACAGATCCAAGAAAACCCGTAAATATATGAAAACCAGCCGAAGAGTATTTTTAAAGAATTGGTATCAAGAACAACAATTATATTTGTACTTGTATCAGAATATTGTCGACCAATTGTAGAATAATGGCCCAAAAAAACTAACAGAATCGTACGCCGCTCTAACTAACTCCAATTTTACCAATCACTAGTTCCCTATGCTAGACCTATGCAATGAAACGGAGTTTCACTCTTAACTCGATAATTCCACAAAATGACGTTGTGTGGACTCAGCCTTAGCCCAATGTGGGCAGAATAATCCAGTTAAAAATCAATAAATAGGAAACACAACGCAGGGATTACTGGAACGTATTACGGAAGCGAATTAACAGTGTTGGGCACTACCTAAATAGTTATACCTAGGTTCGTACCTAGGTAACAAAATGTGGTAACTTTTACCTTACCTATTTTTATTTATATCCGTATAAAAACAGCAGAAACTTAGAGAAAAGCTTGTTCACCCCAAACGATAAACATTTTTTTATAAATTTATATTATTGTACATTTTTTTTACATACTTGGAAAAGTATGTACCCTTTAACTTATCTAAGTTTATATATACTTTACCTATGTCAAAAAATCTAGAAACTTTCCCAACACTGCCTAATAACATTGCACTAATTTTGAGTATAACGATGGGAAGATGGTGAAAATCAAGTTTGTTAAGATCTTCTTTATATTTTAAAAGAAATACATATTAAATCAAAAATTCTTACATTTCCATTATTGGCCATAACATGTTTCAAATTAACATTCAACTATTTATACAAGGGTCCTTAAGTGTTTCTTATTGCATATTCTAGATGACCATGATCCTGTGCTATTCTCGTAACTAAGTTATGTCTCTTCAATGATTATATAGCGGTAATTGCGTTTCTGAACGAAATAATATAAATGAATAAGAAATCAGTAGTCTAGGTGAGGTCACTTGTTCTTCCGTGTGAGGATTTGCATCATTGTACAAACTGCTGCTCCGTCATTGTCATGGTCATCTGGTACAACTCTTAAGTCGTCTACGTATTCACCTTGCAGATGAATAACCAAGCCATCCATTTACGCTTTGAGACTGTATATGTGGAGAGCTGTTTTTTTTATAATTTCAACAAATTCGAAACAAATTTACCTGCTCCAGTACCCGGCATTTTAATTTAATTCAATTTGCGTTAACTTACATACATACGAGGGTGGTCCGATAAGTACTTAGCCTCCAAAAGAAAAACGAAAATTTTGGAAAAGTGGCGATTTATTTCTCAACATAATCACCGTTTAACTCGATACACTTGACCCAGCGATGCTCCAACTTCTTTAACCCGTCTGAAAAATACGTTTTCTCGAGGTCTGCAAAATAGGCCTCTGTGGCGGCGACGACCTCCTCATTCGACGCAAATTTCTGTCCAGCGAGTGACTTTTTCCAGTTTGGAAACAAAAAGAAGTCACACGGGGCCAAATCTGGAGAATATGGTGGATAGCGTAGCAGTTCGTAGTCCAATTCGACTAATTTGGCCTTGGCGAGACCGGAAGTGTGAGTCGGTGCGTTGTCATGATGGAAGAGCACTTCTTCCTTCGCCAAATGGGGCCGTATTTTCTGCACTTCGGCGGTGACTCGGCACAATAATTCGGCGTAGTACAGCCCCGTGACCGTTTTTGCCCTTTTCCAGGTAGTCGATATAGATCCCACCTTGTGAATCCCAAAAAACGGTGGCCACCATCTTTCCGGCCGATGGGACAGTTTTCGCCTTCTTCGGAACAGGTACGCCGGGTGAAGTCCACTGTTTCGACTGTTCCTTGGTCTCTGGTGTGTACCAGTGGATCCATGTTTCGTCGACGGTCACGAAACGACGCAGAAATTCCTTTGGATTGCGCTTAAACAGCGTCCAACACTGCTCTGAAGTGGTCTCACGGTTGCGTTTGTTGTCCTGAGTGAGCAAACGCGGCACCCATCGCGCCAACAGCTATCTTATGCCCAAAATTTCATGCAGGATATGACCCACGCGGTCTTTTGTCTCAGCTATCTCGCGTATCTTCAATCGGCGGTCTGCCTATACGAGATCGTGGATTTTTGTCACGTTATCCTCCGTGGTAGCCGTTTTCGGGGCACCGGGGCGTGGCTCATTAAAAACCGACGTGCGACCACGTTGAAACTCGTTAAACCAATTTTTGCGGTAGTGACGCCATCGAGCGATGAGGCTAAGTACTTATTGGACTGCCCTCGTAGTTGTTCATTTCGTTGTGTATGACAATTTTTTTTATTGATGCGCTCAAAATATACTAAATGTACTCTGTAAAGTCTAAATGCATAAAGTCTAGTACTCAGATTGAAAAACAAATTCGTCAGCGGAAAAACTATAATCTTTCTAGTGTGACAGTAATTCAGAGTTAGTCAGAACTGAGTGTGCTACGATTGTACTGTTAATCAGCTGGGTTTGTTGACAAACATTAAAAATAAAAAAAATTATATGCAGGAAATTGCTTCTTAAGGATATTGTAAAGTACCTCGGCAAGACGATTCTGCAGGTGTACAAAGTCATTAAAACACATTAAAATATAAATTTAAAAGTGTTTTTTTTTTATTTCTTTGGTAATTATTTAATAATTAAAGTTTATAGCTGACTAAATTTTTGCAGGGTATGTGTCATAAACAAAGTATTAAATTATAGTATTTAAAGTATAAATTATGCTCGAGAAGTTTAAATTATTGTGAATTAAATTATTATGAATAAAGGGAAATAAATGAAGTGGCAGATGTGATTAGAAAAATCCATTATTAACATAATTTAATTGATTGGTGTCGTTTATATTCGTTACTCGTAGATTAATATGGTCTACTGTAATCGTTGCAATGTCTGTCTGATAGATATGAGTGGATTAGTGCAGCGACACTTCCACCCCGAAGCCTGAATTTTCTTAAGCTGTAGTGTCACTGAAACCGATATTAGATTTTTTGTTAAAATTTTTTTGGAAGAGATTTATGTAACACATAAATAAGTTTTGTATTAAAAATATCTACCGTCGTATTCAAACAATTTTTTAATCCGAACATAAATAAAACGACAACCAATATGCATCACTTGTTTTTGGGGGTAGTGCGATAGAGTTTATGTAACGGGTACCTCAAAGTCGCAAAACACGACTATAGCGTTCTGTGTTGTAAATACGTTTTTAATAAGGTTAATACTTTTTGAATCACTTTATATTATTTTGTATATGAAAATCTATCTGTAAAACCCCCAACAGTTTTTATAACTATAATCAACTATTGTGTATTATATTTTTCTTAATCCCCAATATGTAAATTATCACCACAACCAAACCACTTAAACTTTGATTAATCGCACCTGTACATAAAAAACACAAAATACGATTATGTCTTACGACCGACAAAAACGTACAAAACTATTAAAAAGGTCATGAATCCTTTGGACGCTCAATGCAACCGTCAACGAAATGATGCAATATGTGTCAGCCAACTCAAAAACGCTCTTGAGATTGATCGTGGAATATTGGCAGAGAAGCCAGATGTGAAGATTTTCCTACCGTTCCGCTTCTTTGTATATCGAGCCGAAGATTTATTCCAACCGAACACATATAACAGATTTTTAGGTATGTAATGAAATACATTTTTTTAAACAAAATCATTAATCCGAAATATTTCAGTGGCACCCACCGGCGACCATGTAATTTCACTTATTGATGAAATTTCGTACCTATCGGCACCAGCGCCACTGACATCCCAGTACAATGATATTAACCCAGAACAATTTTGTAACGGAGACAATCGTCCTGCGGATTGTGGACCAAACTGCATGTGTACTCATAAAATTGACATTCCACTCAATGCAATTGTGGAAGTAGTTTTAGTAGATGAAGGTAACTGTTATTTTTTTATATTGTGTACTTAGTTACAAAATTGGAATTTTTTGCACATTCATTAATCTACAGTATGGTAAAAGTCCTTATGGCCAGATTAAAATTCGGCAAACCGACATCTATTAGAAAAGCTTACATTGATTTATAAAAGCTTTACTATAATTTTACCTGTTACTCCCTTTAAACATGCTGTAATCGCTTTTAATCTAAGAGCAACGGGAATAAAATTACTTGAAAAATTTTTGAATTGGGCCCGTGATTGATCCTTGAGTCGCAAGCCGAAGTTTATATACCCTTGCAGTTATTACAAATTGACTACATTTCGATTTCTATGCCTATAGTACTAAAATCAATTAACCTATGTCGATTTTGCGCTTCATGATATGATATTGCTATCCGATTTTAATTTAATCAAAACCGTAATTCCATAATATTTAAATATTATCAAATCTCAAAAACAAAAAAAAATACAACAAAGTTACAATTTTTTGAATTTTTTTTCCGATTATTCCAATGGGAGCTATATGATCGGCTCGTTCCGACATATATACTGCCTGCAATAGAAAGACAACTTTTGGGAAAGTTTCAAGCAGATAGATCTAAAACTGAGGGACTAGCTTGCGTAGAAACGGACGGATGGACAGACGGACGGACGGACATGGTTATATCGACTCTCCTGGTGATGCTGATCAAGAATATATATATATATAAACGTCTCCTTCACTGCGTTGCAAACTTTTGACTGATATTATAATACCCTCTGCTAGGGTATAAAAATTAAACTTGTATGCCATTGTTTCTTACAAAAAATTATCAGAAGCTTAAAAGAAATAAATAGTTTACTTAATAATTATTCTTTATGCAGTTCAACAGCCCAATTTGTCGCATCCCTTCCACTTGCATGGATACGGGTTTAGCGTCATTGGTATTGGTCGATCACCGGATTCTTCCGTGAAGAAAATTAATTTAAAGCATGCATTGGACCTAGACAGGCGCGGACTTTTACATCGACAGTATAATTTGCCACCGACTAAGGATACAATTGCAGTGCCAAACAATGGATACGTTGTGTTGCGTTTTAGAGCTGACAATCCCGGTAAGTTTAAATATAATTAACTTTTTTTTTGGTGTACCTTATTAAACATTATGTTTTCAGGATTCTGGCTCTTCCACTGTCATTTTCTATTCCACATTGTTATTGGAATGAATTTGATTTTGCAAGTCGGCACTAACGCTGATCTGCCACCCGTGCCACCAGGATTTCCAACGTGTGGCGACCACACTCCACCCATACCAATAAACTAAGACTAAACCGTGACGACACACTCCGAAAAGAAGCCACAGGGCAAGGCATTTAGAAAACGAGCAAACAAATTTCTTAGGAACTAAAAAAGACCTACATACTGATTGTACAGTTTGTAAAAATCTTAATCAATCACAATATATTTACGAAGATTGTATATATTTATGTAAAAATAGCACAAAGCACAATTTCCCCTTCCAGTAGTGAGCACACTGCCAACCTCCAATTGTATATTGACGGCAATATTCTGAGGAGTATTGACCATTTCCCTTGACTTTATCACCCAGGAGCGTACTATCAAATGTATATATGTAATAATATGTGTGTATTTGTAGAAACTACAAATTCAATACATTAATTTATTTTATGAAAAACACGTTAATTTTTCACTGTAATATAAAAACTGACTGCAAACAACCGATCACTCTTATTATATTTCTGCAAATTAATTTGAGTTGGCTAGATTGTAAACTTTGTAAACATCGTTTACTTACAGTTTTTTTATTTACAATAATATTGTGTTCAAAATAACAGTAGCGGGATAATGTAAAATATTTTAAAATCAATTGATATTTTTTACGATATATTTTTGTTTAAAAGTAAATTTGCAGCACAGTACAAGAAAATTAAATTTGGAGATAAAACAATTTCAAGAACAATTATTACTTAGCATACAGAATATTTTAAACATTTTTTTTAGGTACCAGAAACAAAAAAAATTCTACTTAATTAGAAACATACTCTTGATACTGCCATACGCGCACCACTTAAACAAAAATTTAAAATAAAAGGCCTGCTTCATTATTTTCAAAGTATATTAAAAACACAAAGTATGAACTGATCTAATATTTTGTACAGAAAAATAAAACCCTAAAATAGTTAATTTAATAAATATTTTCAGCTTCTTATACGAGCTTCGGTATTTGCAAATACAAATCAAGATTACGATCTAAACACAGTGGTTTATGAAAGCCAAATTTCATCTTACTAAAATTATACTATACTTTTTGGATAAAACATAAACATATTGTTTTGGATCGATAAAAAAAAACAACTGAGAAAAGATTGCGAAAATCGGAGCGCGCTTTATTCTTGAGATTAGATTTTGAATTTGTGAAACCTAAATTTGTGTGAAATATATTTCAGTATTTTCAGCTACTGGTTAAATTTGTTGTTCAACTCTCGTTATACACATTTGATTCAAATGTGGTTGTTTTGTCATCTAAATTTGTTTATAATTGTTAAATGTACATATGCTTACATATAAAATAAAAAAAGCAATTAATTATTAATATACTTTAAATTGCTTCAATAAATATTCTTATATCTAATGCCAAACTGAACTTATAACTTCTTGGTCGATACACCTAGCAGCAGCTGGTAAAAGTCAATTAACAAAACCTTGGTATTCAAACTCGAAATACATTGTTTTTTCCTATGTGTAAATTGTACTCTTTAACTTCTGGTAACAATATATTTTATATGTATGTATGTCTGTATGTATAATCCTTACAATAAATTTTAAAAAAATAAATGCAATCGTGTATATCTTATGCATCTGATAGTTTTAAAGCATTTATAGAAGAACACAGATATTTTGTAATGAATTACGCATATTTAATATTTGCTTATGTATTTTTACAATCGCACATAATAAGTATGACGCTATATAAATATGCACGGATTTTTCCCTTCATTTAATTCATATGTAACTTTCAATCCAAACCATAGATCCGTGATTCTAAAGTGTTCTGCCGTATTCACAGATTCTCAACCCTTTGGATGCCATTTGTGATCGTAAACGGCCAGATGCAGTTTGCGTTTCGAACTTAAAGAATGCGAAAAGGGTCGACAAGGGTGTTTTGGTTGAACGCCCTGATGTGAAAATCTTCTTACCTTTCAGATTTTATGTGTACGAGCCAAAAACTCTATTTATACCAAATACTTACAATCGATTTTTAGGTACGTGCATTCAAGTTGGTGACCAAAATACTAACCATTTCAGTGATTAACAATTTATTTTTATGTTTGCACTCGTATTTAATTGCTTAATGGGTATTAACCACTCCACGTCACTATCAACACGTTCCTCTACTTATAGTTGTGCCTAGTGGGGATCATCTGACATCTTTGGTCGATGAAATATCATACATATCACCACCGGCACCCCCTCTATCTCAAATCGATGACATACCGCCCGAATACTTCTGCAACGGGGACAATCGGCCGCCAAACTGTGGGCCAAACTGTGAATGCACACACATGGTTGACATACCTCTTGGAGCTATTGTTGAAGTTGTGTTGGTCGATGAAGTCCAGCAGGTGAATCTTAGTCATCCATTTCATTTGCATGGTACTGCTTTCTATGTGGTTGGACTGGGTCGATCGCCGGACAAGTCTATAAAAAAAATCAACTTAAAGCATGCTCTGGAGCTGGACCGAATGGGCATGCTTGAGCGTGATTTTTCTAATCCACCTCTTAAAGATACTATAGCCGTACCGAATAATGGTTATGTTGTTATGCGGTTTCGCGCAGACAATCCAGGTTATTGGCTTTTCCATTGTCACTTCCTTTTCCATATCGTCATAGGCATGAACCTCATCTTTCATATCGGAACACCAGCCGACCTACCACCAGTTCCGCCGCGATTTCCTACATGTGGCGACCATGTTCCGCCGGTTACTTGGTTCTAGTCCGTTGACTTAGATAGTAAGAACTGTAGTATAATTTTTAACTTAGTTTTTATTATTTATTAACATTTTACCTAGCTTAACCTAATTTAATCATGAATAAATTTTGTGTCTGCAAAATTTTTAAAAAAAAAATAATGCTGTAAAAAATATGTTTCATTCTCATAGCAATGATCAAGGATTAAAGTGTATGATTCTCCCAAGCAAAATGAATCAAACTTTCTTATAAACAGAAACTAATTAGCAATAACACATAAAAACGAATCGATTATAATTATATTTTTAATTTATAGTCGCTTCAGACGCTGATCATCTCATATCACTTATCGATGAGGTATCATACATATCGCCACCTTCCCCGATGCTGTCACAATATAATGACATTCCCCAAGACTATTACTGTAATGGGGATAATCGACCAGTAGATTGTGGCGAAAACTGTCAATGTACTCATAAAATCGATATACCCCTTAACGCAATAGTCGAGGTCGTGCTTGTGGATGAAGTTCAACAGATTAATATAAGCCACCCCTTTCATTTGCACGGTACTTCTTTTTATGTACTAGGACTTGGACGCTCCCCGGATACGCATATTAAACGCATGAATTTGAAACACGCTCTGGACCTCGATCAACGCGGCTTGTTGGAAAGACAGTACCTGAAACCTTCCCTGAAGGATACTGTTGCTGTACCAAATAATGGATATGCTATTTTACGATTTAGAGCAGATAATCCTGGATTTTGGCTTTTTCACTGTCATTTTCAATACCATATTGTAATAGGCATGAACTTGGTGTTTCAAATAGGTACTACTAATGATTTGCCTCCTGTACCACAAAATTTTCCTCGTTGTGGAAACCATCTACCCCCCATAATGACAGAGAGCCTACGCTAACAGAAATTTTCTGACCCTTGGATTCTGTTTTTTATGACCACTTTAGTACTTAGGTATTTTAAAAAATAACTATATAAAGGAAAGCTCAGAGACAATATCTTGTAATTTCATTCAATAAAATATATGTTTAGTGTAAATCTGTGTTTATCAGTGGTGTTTCAAAAATCTTTGACTATTTTTAAAGGCCTACGACTCGCCTAGCTAAAAATGTATGCTTGAGCAATAAAATTCGTCTTTCGCCTGGAAAGAATTTTGGGAGCTCCTAATTATATTATATTATTATATACGGGAGTCTTGAATGTCCCTTCTCGTTATCTCTATGGTTTCTGGATATGTAGGTTTGTCAAGTCGAGTGTACTCATCGTAATAAAAGCTTGCCCTCCCACTGGTTATACCCCGCTGTAAGCCCGGCACGTGTGAACTTAGCCGTGGTAAGTCCCGCTACTGCCAATGGCAACCGCATTCTGATTAAGGAACGGCCCCGTTTGACCTGCAGATTAACTTCCTGCGCCGCAGCCAATTTTTGCTGGAGGAACTGCTCACGGCCACCGCATATCACTTACGGATCGATTTTCTTGCGAATGAATACGTTGGCACCACCCACGAGGCCTTTTTCCACTAGCAAATTAACCCACTGTCTCTGAAGCACTGAGTAGGTTCGGTATGTAATTTCCCAGAATCACTGTTAAGCTTGGACAATTAACTATGTTATCCAATCGCCCTCGGCACGTAATAGCTACTAGTAGCTATCATTTCGTTACATACGATCTTGTTCTTAAAATCATTTAAGTCAAATGTGAGGTCAAAAAGAGAAAATGTGTAAATAATTCGATCACTTTTCATCCTTTACAACAAACAAAAACAAATACATTTGTGTATGAATATGAAACATTTACTTTTAGTTTCCAGAAAATTTAAAAATCTTCAAAAATTCTTTTAGTTTTTTTATTATTAACTTTAACCTTTTAAAACGAAGAAATAATTAAGTAATATACGTTATGGAAATTTTAGACGTTTGATAACTATATGAAAAACGGTAGCAATCAAATATAACATAACATAAATTTACATATGACCATCTGAAAGAGGATCGGTTTGACCTCATCTAATTCTTCCATAGCTGTCTAAGTTTGCACTTAGTCCTTGTCTACATCTAGAATCCTTTTTTCCGCTACTTATTTTTTGGATAAACATTGATTATGTTTCGGCCGAGTTTGTTTTAAAATCACAGAGAATTTTAGGCGCATTCAAAAATGCAGCGCTCTTGAGAGAAAAGTTCACACAGAGATCATTCGCTTATCCCTAAGGATAAATGGCGGTGTGCGTAACTCCTCAGATAAGGAGGTCCAATCCATATACGCGAGGGAGCAAGGTTGTATCAAGGCAAAGTTAAAATAGAGCCAGTGAGTTTCATAAACGTGAACATCTTCTATGAGGATTGTTAACGACATCTTGCCGTCGACACTCTACCACGGTAGTCTGAATCTGTTATTGAATCCCCCTTCACATTCTTGTGAGGTCCGTGTGCACATCTAGGGATTTCCTCACCTCCACCAGTTCACTCCCAGCCCGCCTTGTAGACGTCTATTACAGGTTCGGGCTTCCGATCCGCAGCATTTGAGGGATCCTTTCAGACTCTGCCGGGCCATTCTCTGGGCTTGCTGTGGTTATTATTATAGTCAACCAGTTCGAGCTTGGCTTCGTCAAACCAGTCTTTTGTTGAATTTTTATTATTAATATTAAGTATAGATGAAAAGTATATTGTGGAAGAATACAAGATTACTGCGAAGTTTCTCTATTCTGCTCTATTCTGCGTCGTTTTTCTGCTTCCGTTCTGCTGCTGTCGTCTCCGCTGAATGCCCCCTGTAAATCTCCTGTTCTGCTGTTCTGCTGCTCCTGCTGTTCTTGCTACTACTGCTGTTCCTGCTGTTATTCTGCTGATCTGCTACACAGTCTTACATACATTTGCACTTATTCATAGACGGTGGAATAGAGTACCGCCAGCTGCATCGCAAAGGTACATTTCTGAGACAAAATCTACGGTTCCTGTGCTCAAAGCTTTCTGGAAAAAAAACAAAAGCATATAATTATGTCAAAAACAATTCAAAAGGCTTACCAGTATCATTAGACAAAAAAGAAATTAAAATAACAGACTTAAATTAAAACAAGAAAGGAAAGCTAACTTCGGGCGGAGCCGAAGTTGATATACCCTTGCAGAATATTATGTACATTATATTCTCCAAAATTATTCATATGATGCATTCTTAATACTCATAAAAAATCCCAACTTCCTAACTTTAAAAACACCAAAGTTATGGCATTTCCAATCGTTCAGTTAAATGGCAGCTATACGATATAGTCTGCCGATCCTTATGAAATTTGGTAGGTCGGATTGATTAACCAAATATAAAACCCATAGAAAATCCCAGCTTCCTAACTTTACAAACACCAAAGTTATGGCATTTCCGATCAATCAGTTATATGGCAGCTATAGGATATAGTCGGCCGATCCTTATGAAATTTGGTAGGTCGGATTGATTGGCCAAATATAACACGCATAGAAAATCCCAACTTCCTAACTTTACAAACAGCAAAGTTATGGCATTTCCGATCAATTAGTTATATGGCAGCTATAGGATATAGTCGGCCGATCTCGGCCGTTCCGACTTATATACTGCGTGCAAAGGAAAGAACTGTGTGTGCAAAGTTTCAGTTCGATAGCTTTAAAACTGAGAGACTAGTTTGCGTAGAAACAGACAGACGGACAGACAGACGGACAGACAGACGGACAGACGGACAGACGGACATGGCTATATCAACTCAGGAGGTCATCCTGATCAAGAATATATATACTTTATAGGGTCGGAGATGTCTCCTTCACTGCGTTGCACACTTTTGACCAAAATTATAATACCCTCTGCAAGGGTATAACAAGAAAGGAAAGCTAACTTCGGGCGGAGCCGAAGTTGATATACCCTTGCAGAATACTCTGTAAATTATATTCTCCAAAATTATCCATATGATGCATTCTTAATACTCATAAAAAATCCCAACTTCCTAACTTTAAAAACACCAAAGTTATGGCATTTCCAATCGTTCAGTTATATGGCAGGATATAGTCGGCCGATCCTTATGAAATTTGATAGGTCGGATTGATTGGCTAAAAATAAAACCCATAGAAAATCCCAACTTCCTAACTTAACAAACACCAAAGTTATGGCATTTCCGATCGTTCAGTTATATGACAGCTATAGGATATAGTCGTACGATCCCGGCCGTTCCGACTTATATACTGCGTGCAAAGGAAAGAAGGGTGTGTGCAAAGTTTCAATTCGATATCTTTAAAACTGAGAGACTAGTTCGCGTAGAAACAGACAGACGGACAGACAGGACACGGACATGGCTATATCAACTCAGGAGGTGATCCTGATCAAGAATATATATACTTTATAGGGTCGGAGATGTCTCCTTCACTGCGTTGCACACTTTTGACCAAAATTATAATACCCTCTGCAAGGGTATAACAAGAAAGGAAAGCTAACTTCGGACGGAGCCGAAGTTGATATACCCTTGCAGAATACTCTGTAGATTATATTCTCCAAAATTATTCATATGATGCATTCTTAATACTCATAAAAATCCCAACTTCCTAACTTTAAAAACACCAAATTTATGGCATTTCCAATCGTTCAGTTATATGACAGCTATAGGATATAGTCGGCCGATCCTTATGAAATTTGGTAGGTCGGATTGATTGGTCAAAAATAAAACCCATAGAAAATTCCAACTTCCTAACTTTACAAACACCAAAGTTATGGTATTTACGATCAATCAGTTATATGGCGGCTATATGATATAGTCACCCGATCCGGCTCGTTCCGACTTATATACTACCTGCAATAGAAAGACAACTTTTGGGAAAGTTTCAAGCAGATAGCTTTAAAACTGAGGGACTAGTTTGCGTAGAAACGGACGGACGGACAGACGGACAGACGGACGGACAGACGGACATGGCTAGATCGACTCTCCTGGTGATGCTGATCAAGAATATATATACTTTATAGGGTCAGAAATGTCTCCTTCACTGCGTTGCAAACTTTTGACTGAAATTATAATACCCTCTGCAAGGGTATAAAAATTCCATTAAATTATAAAAATATAGTCGATTTAATAAAAATAGTTTTTCCAGCTCGAGGTCCACAATTAAAAAAATTTTAAAACTAAAGTTGTTAAATTTTATTTATTATTTTTTTTCAATATATTTCAGATTCACTTCGGCAACCGTCTTCAGGGCAACTGAAGAGCGAGAGAAATGTCGCGAATAAACTAACAACATTGAAAGAGGGACATGAGAGGAAGTATAGAAAACTACAAAAGAAACGGAATAATATATTCACATACAACAACAAAACGAACGATTGGTTTGTCAACAAAACGAATGTGGAGTTCTTTCCAGACGTGTAAGCACTTCTTGCAAAGGGTCCA